TTGCGAACTTGCTCGACTGTGTAGTCTACTGACTCACGCAACAGAGGGTTGCTGTGCGATTGCGTTTGACTATAACGTAACTGCGCCTGATGTTTGATGTAGTCGCTTAGATAAGGGATGTCGAGGTCTCTGTGAAGGGTCTCGTTGGAGACATACCATGGTGCGCTAGTGATGGTTCGCAAGGTTCTGTTCTGCAAAACCTGCAAATTACGCATATGCGTTTTGGCAAGAAAACACCATGCTGCACATGCGTAAGTGATTGCTGGTGTGATAGCCGTCTTGTTTAGCCAAACTTTGTTAACCAAACTTAATCTTGAGGTTCTATATAGTAAAGCGTAGAGTTGCCGAAACGTAATTTGGAATTTAGTTTTTAACTCTTCAGTGTGATTCTGCCAGGTCATCCCCCTGTCAAGAGTGACACCGAGATACTTAGCAGAATTTCCCCATGGTATGCGAGCTCCGTTCACTGAAACCTCAGCCTGCCTCTTCGAGTAATTAATTTCGATTAGCCACCGATCTGCCCATTCCAATACCTCATCCACCGCACTTTGTAACCTGTCGTGAACCAGATTTCCAGTACGCCACTGGGCCACTAGTGCAGTGTCAGCAGCACATAGATAGACTTTACAGTCGCTAGGGCAAGGGACATCATACGTAAAAAGTGTGTAAAGGATTGGCCATAGAACCGAACCCTGAGGGACGCCGGCCCTGATAGGCCGTACTTTCGACAAGAAATTATTAATAATCCGAAATTTCCTACCTTCAAGGAAGGATTTCAAAAAAATGGACAGCCCTTTGAATTAGTTTATAGAGAAGGCCCTTGTGCCACACCTTGTCAGATGCGTTCGAGACATCCAGAAGCAAGATGCCAGTACTTTCGTTAAGGGTGAAGCGCCTGGTTACTCACTCCACAAGCCTAATCGCCTGTAACTTCGTACTATGCTCAGACCGAAATCCAAATTTCACGTCAGGGATCACATGGTGATCTGACGAGAAATTCGCAAGGTGACGTAGAATCTCCTTTTCAGCGAGCTTAGACGGAGCAGACAGTAGGATGATCGGACGATAGTCCTGGAGAAATATCGAACCCACCTTCTTTGGAATCATTATAACTTCCGCAGTCCTCCACGCCGATGGAAAGTACTGGGTCCTTAGCAGGGCATTAATAATAGCCACGAGATAAGTCAAGGACTTCCGTGAAAGCAGCTTCAGCGCCTTAGTAGTGATTTGATCCTCCCCAGGCGCTTTACGCACCTTGAGGTCTTTAATATAACCTTGAAGCTCTGCTGGTGTGCAATGCGGGACCTCTGGAGAACCCGCTGATGTGCTGTGCAACTCTTCAGCTGAAAAATCTTCCGAAAAAGAATCTTCTAATATATCTCCTGACGGATCTTACGATTTGTTGCTCCTCGTCGAGATCATTATCAAGATCATAGTTGGGAGAGAACTGTCGTTCCACAGCATCAGCCAAAACCTCGACCTTGTCCTCTGTCCTGAAGTCTATGCCCCCAGGACCGTGGATGTGCGGGAGTTGTTGTCGCTTTCCATTTTTGAGCGACTTCGCCACTTTCCAGAGAGGAGTACTTGAGTCAAGCATCCCCGCCAGAAAGTCGTTCCGTTGCTCATTGCGGAATTCATGGAGAGCATATCTTACTTCATGAACAGGATTCCTCGCTCTGCGGATGTCATCAGGATGACAAGACCTTTTCGCTTGCTTAATTGCAGCCCTTTTGTCAGAAATTTTCTGACGAATGTCTGCAGGGAGAGGAGTCCGACGGTTTAGCTTGTTATATTCCATTCCAACATCGACCCTTATTCCTTGTTGGGAAACCCGCTTATAAAATAAATAATAATGTTGTGGAAATTTTTAATGCAATACCTATTTTCTTACGATTCTTGGGTAAGTATCACTTCAAACCCTCTAAACAAGAAGGATCATACATTGTGTAGCATAATCCGAACACTTATTGTGTCTGCAGAGCAGCGTGTTTTTTTTTTCTTTTTGACGGTCGAAGGTGTTGTTGATAAAGCGGTGATGTTAATGGAAATTCACGGCACCCCACAAGCGAAGGCAAATATTTATTCTGTCGATTAAATTACGAGCTGTCTGGAGAAACTAAGTGGATAGAATGGAAAGGTTTAAGTTTGCCGGAAAACTGTGTTGTTAATGCTTACGGTAAGCTTTTAGTCAGGAGGAATTTGGCATATAGAGTGGAACAAAAGGGTCTCATTTTCTTGAAAATAGTGCTTGTTATTTACATTTCAGCGTAAGAGGTCTACGTTCTAAGCCTGCCTATTTAAGATTATCTGTTACTGCCCCTAAGGGAATACATTCCAAGACAGTTGAGTATACAGGGTGTTCGACTAATGACCTGGACAAAGTTGCCTTATTTATAGATACGCATAATATTATCACATATTTGCGTAAAACTGCATACTTTTGAGCTTTGTCTTGAAGCTGTGAGATAATTATGTGTTTTCTCTAAAAAAATAAAAATTTCGCGCTCGAAAATCATTACCTACTTCGGCTTCATAATTAGATATATTACTGAATCTACTGTAAGAAGATATTTTATAGGCTTCAGTTGATAACAAGTTCTCAAAAAAATCATACACATTGTTCCTTAAAATTATTTCATATAAGACAACCTGTGTATTCTCACGTCTTCAAATCCCAATATTTGTAAGTTGTTTTTTGATATCTAGTCGAGATAAGGGTTTCGTACTTGTTAGACAGAGTATAGGTTTAAAAAAGGAACTTGACAAAACGTTACACTGTTCATGTCATACCGGAATATGTAATAATAATGTGGACATACAAGGAAGCAACTTTGATAACTGCCCACTCGTAGGAGACCCTGTGCAATCACATAACCATATTTTTTAAAAGAGTCGCAGTCCAGAGCACCGAGGACTTGATCTGACACGTACACATCTCGCTGATAGCGACAGCTTTTGGGAAAAAGCTAGGCTAATTGTTTAGGACCAAGAAGCACTTTTCTCCACATAACCTCCTCACTCTATACAAGGTCCAGGTAAGACCTAGCCTCGAGTATTGCTCCCAGGTTTGGGGTGCTACTGCCCCGACTACATTACTGCTGTCTAGAGGAGGGCTGAGACTGGTACTGAATTATATCTCTTCACTAACAAACAGTCTCAAAAACCTCTCGCACCGGCGATGTAGCTGTCTTCTATCTCTACGGGCTTTGCTCCTCAGAGCTCTACTCCATCATGCCGCCGCGCGATGAGCCTGCCAGATAGACGCGCGTGACTCAGACTCCCATCCTAACCGTGTCGAACTGCTGGCAGATACGATCGCTTCTTGTTCTCTAGGGTGTCGAAATTGTTGCACAATCTACAAAAGCAGGCGATTTCTAATTCTACTAACCTTATGCGGTTCCAAAATCGGATTAACAAATCTTTTTGGGATTCCCATAGAAGTCTTGACATATAGGCTTCTTCCTGCGCAGCTACTCCACAAAGATGTTGCAGGATAGTCCTGAATAGTGTTTGGAAAAAGTCTATCGGCACTTTATCCATGCAAGTTTGGGCAGTCCATGTGACAAAATTGCAATGTTGGTGAACTAGTAATGATGATGATAAGGCTCTTCATAAATTTCAAACAACTATTAAAGATAGTCTGTCGAATCCATAACGCTTGCCCAGATTGGAAGCCCAGTTTTTTCGGAAGTGTGGAAATCGTGAAAATATGGAAAAACTCATTTGGGCTCAATAACACTTTTGTTCTACGTAATGTGATCTACAACATACTAGATTCTTAAGAAAATTAACCGGAAGCAATTCCCTATATCAGCAGGACCGTTTGCCAATATGACGGAAAAAAATGCAATACTTTGGGAAACCATGTTTTTTGCAAAAAACTGAAAATACGAAACCATATACATTATGTCACAGTAGCCAAGTCAGTGTGGCGATCCGACTAAAGACCGTACTTGAAACCCTGGACATCTGCTCTACTAAATAAATAAAACCAAGCGTTTTCACTAAATAATGCCAAAACAGTTATTAATGCATGTAGTTTGCATTTCAGTATCTCACATTATTTGAAACTATATATACAGGGTGACTTTGAAGTTGAGTCATTAATTTTCAGATAATGATTGTAGAAGGAAGATAAACCAAAATATGTGTGTAAACATTAAAAAAAATTAAAAAAAAATGTTACCTTGTTTTATAAAGTATCCTCCCGACAAGTATTTCAGTGCGGACCTGTATTTGATCGTGCGGTCTTGGAGAACCGGCAGGTCTTAAGTCACCTGATTCACGAGCCCTTTGTACTACATTAACAAAGGCACGAGGGGTTGGTTGCACTCGATGGGGAACCGATTCGCACAAATCCGTGATGCCGCGGCAGCATTTTGTAAAGACTCCCCCCCCCCCGTAAATAAGAATCATGTCCACAAGTTCAGCATTTTCGTAAACATGTGCCATTTTTTATTTCGTTTGAGCCACGCAACAAACACCACTACGCGTTACTGACTGACGAAAAACATCGTGATGAACGTTTCAAATTCTTTCGCTTTTTTGTTTCCGATGCGATGAACCGGTCAGGCGGATTATATCCGTTGTCGCCAAACACGAGCATATTATATTATATTATTATTGAGGCAGGGCGGTACTCAAACTTCTAAAGGGCTATAACTTTGTTAATTTAATTTTACCAGAAAAATGTTAAAGGAAAAAAACATTTCTTTTGATCAGATCTACTCACTGTTAAAATAAATGACTCAACTTCGAAGTCACCCTGTATATATATATATAGGTCTAACTTTATCCTTACTACAACAGAGGAGCCAACTGCAATTTTTTTGTTACATCGCGTACTAATACTTGATTAGCTTTTAGTAAGCGAAGTAACCAAAAATTTGCAAGCGGCTCTCTGACTATTATATACCATGGTCTCTATAGTTATCAAAAAAATTATTTCAGTGTTCCCCAAGGGCTTGAAGACGTCTCTTCATACCCAGTGCTCTTTGCAGAGCTGATAGGAACAGGGAAATGGACAGTGGATGATCTGAAAAAGCTGGCTGGCCTCAATTTTCTCAGAGTATTTCAAGAAGTGGAGAAAATTAGGGACGAGTTTAGAAGGGCCAACGTACCGCCTTACGAGGAAGTAATTACCCCTAGACCAAAGGATAACAACTGTACATCCCAATTAGTTTAAGAACGATAAGGAAGGCACTAAGTTATAAAAAAGTAAATGACTTAAAAATGAATGAAAATTATTGAAATCAAGCGCAGAAGTGATCTACACATAATCAATCCAAAAGCATCTGAGACCGAATACATAAAGTTTGCGTGCAAAAATCTGCTTGATGTTTCTTTCTTCAACTGTAGTTTTCAACTATTCGAAAAGTGACAGGAAGAACATATGTAATAAGACATATTGTTTTCGAATTATGTGCCTGGACCAAAACCCATTCCAGTGCGTCTTGAGTTTCTTCTTGTAAGATATGTATATGAGCGTCTGTATTGGTTTTTAACATTTTCTACTGTACTAAGTGGATTCTGGGTTGAGGTTGCAGTTATGCTGAATGAGTTGTTGATCACTGAAAAATAAACCAGTCCAAACTAGTGTTTTCTGACATTACGGACTGCATAGTTTTGTATATACGATATACAGGGTTTAATAGTTATGGTAGTCGTTATTGAAATGGGTAATAGGGGAGGCCAAAACAAGTCAAAAAGTTCATATGACCCATGGTCCAAAAGTCTAAGCGGCTTTATACTTTACAACTTTAAGTGCTTTATATCGATCACAATCACCACAATCTTACTAAATTTTATAATCTAATTTAAAACGTTTTTAAATTGGGTAACTAACTAATAAATGGTATTAAGTTTTCCTAAGTTAAGCCAAAATTTGTACTCAGTAAGTAAGTTTCATAAAATTAAATATTTGAAACACACATGACAACAGCGCGTCGGTCTTTCATCACTCTTATCGACTCGGCAATCGAACGCAAACGATAACAGTGGTTAGTTATGGTTTTGCATAGATAAATTACTTTATCGTTTTGTCGAGCAGAGTATTGGGCGGGTTGTTTTGTTTTTGTTCGCGTACGTCGTCGTGTTTATTTACAATGTTGTCGAATCAAGAGTTCGCCGATATGTAGTTAGTTCAAGTTGAAGCTCGTCAGAATTCAAATCGTGCAGCTCAAATTTATCGCGACAGATTTCGCCAACGGGTACACCCAGACAAAAGGACATTTGTGCACGTGTACCAAAACTTCGAGATACATGAAGTGTTCAGCCCACTAATATTCGCACTCGTGAAAGACAGGATACCGTAGAGCAGGAGGAACAAATTTTGAATATGGCGGAAATCAACGCAGATATTAGCACTCTGAAATTAGGCCGCCGCACAGTGTGTTCCTTTATAGGGGTCAGGGACAAAATTCGATATCTTAAAAACTAGTGGTCCTATTTGAATTCTGTAAACGCAGGGCGATTACTTATTTAAGTAGCTTTCTAAAGTATGACATAAATTATTTAAAATAATAAGAAGGGGTGAGGAGGCAGGCCGGATGCATTTCGCATAAATCGTTTTTTTTTTGTAAAAGTCAAAATATTAAGTTGATGATCTCGAATAAATTGGGATAAGGTAGGATATTATTATAGCATTCTTAAGAGAGACAAAAAAGTCACGCTTTTATTTTCCAAGATCTTTACCGAATGATTTAAAAGATAATGTAGCCAACTTGTGGCGGGCGCAATATGATTTATTAAATTTGTCTATCTATTTGAAAAAATAATAAGAATAATTCAAATAAAAAATAAATCTGTAATTTGAAATTGATATTTAGGTTTTTATTTAAAAAAATATATTTAACAAAATAACAATTACTTAGTAGGTAATGTATGAAATAATAATATAAACTATATTAAAAAAATCACACCAAATATACCCATTGTAATCGGAATGGGATTTCTTGCTCGGTGCTGTATCATTCGTTATTGTACCTACGTCAATACCTAAATCATCATTTTCTTGCTTTTTTAAATAGTTCTTAACTGCCTCGTTGCATTTCTTATATTTTTTTGAGCTCACCTTTCTTTTTGAGGATATAAAAGGATCAGAAGTAAGTAAAAGAACACGCATGAGATCCTTATTCGTATCTGTTCTTAAACATTTTCTGGTGTGAGATAATCGATGTTTCCTAACCTCTTTATGGCGAGCCTCAAGCGCATCCTCCGACAGTTCTCCAATGGGCAAACAAAATGCATCAATTATCTCACACCCATGAACCTTATGTACCGTGTTTGGCATGTTGTACCACTTATAAAGGTGGATATACAAATTTCTTGCTTCTTCCAGAAATGACGCAAACTTTTCCATATCAATAGCGCAACCACTAGCTAACACTTCTAAGATGATCGCAAATTTCTCGATTAATTCCCTGTCAACCGCTGTGATATCTGAACTTGTTTGTGGATTATGGAAAAAAATTCTGGCCGTATTGCCATCATTTGAGGAGCCATACCCGGGTTTTGGTTTGTCAACTATTAGAGACAGCTTGGCTCTGAACTCTGCTTGGATTCGTTTTTTGTGTGCTTCGACTATAGCTTTGTTTTCAGGCCCACGAACCTGCCAAGATTTAATTGGCAGGCGGTATCCAATATGGAGTAAGCATTCAAAAAAACTAATCCAGCAGTGTAAAGTTGACAAACCAAACCGGTAATTGTCTACGTTAGGAGGACGGTTAATCCCTGCCAACGTGTTCATGTCCTTGCTCCGCAAATGATGCACTTCATAGTTGAATTTGTCTCTGATAGAACGTTTCCAACACTGCCGTCCAACATTGTTAACATCATATCAACTTCAATTATATAAGAGTGCCCTTCTTTTGTTTTAATCTCAATAGGAATCAAATTTTCAATTTTTGTTATTATTTCCTTTTCCGTATTCCGCACTAAATCAGCATTTTCCTTTTTAACTAAAAACTTGAACGGCCTACAATATAAAGTAGATGAAGGGCTCTCATTTTTCCACAATACTTTATTCGTTTCGATATCAATCAATCTGAGTGGCGTCATTGCTACAAGAAACAGAAATTCGTCGGTGTTTTCTAAATCAGAAAATTTCTGCTTATATTGGCTATGCCCAGAACTGCCATCAAATCCCCACTTGCATATCACTTTAATCCGGCAATCTCTCTCTTCAAAATTTATTATTTCAAGGATACTTTCAGCTGTTTTCTGTAGAAGTTCTTGCAAATCAACTTCTGCAGAAATTTCAGTAATAATAAATTGTGAAGGGAGGATAGCATTTTTTGTTTTCTGTAATTCTTTATAACTAGGAAGGCAGTTCTGGGCCTTACCATTAATAACAGACCTAAGTAGCAAATACTTTCTTACGGATATATCCAAATCTACCATAAGGGCTAAAGCTTCAGCTGTAGTAAAACTAAAAATTTGTGGCGAGACCTCACTGTGATTGCTTCCAGAAACGACATTTACAGCAAATTGAAGTTCATTTGCAGATCTGTCTGTGGCTAGTTCGGCTACACGTCTTCGTTTTGTTTTCTTCGATGCCTCTGTCCAACTGAGCGACAAGGAGGTTCTTGTTCCTCATCCGAAGATGTGTTTTCTTCAGAATCATTATTTATTCTATATATAATCTTGTCTAACCAATATACCTGATTTTGTAAAAGTCGATTCCGAGATTGTCCTACTTTCTGCCATTTATTTGCCATTTTCAACACAAACAACTGGCTGCATTTCATAATATTACTTTTAAGATGTTTGGAAGGTTCATCTGTTATATCAATAAGAGATAATATCTTTTCATAAACCACCTGTTTTCTATTTCCTCTCGGTGCTTCTATCCACATACCAATCAAATCTCTATTTCTGACAATAGCACCATGTCCTAAAAAAATTATATCTCCCTTAGACGTGGCATGACGTGATTTAAACTTTTTATCAAAACTTACTATGGACAGATAAACAATAAATAAAAAAATTTTTAGGGTGATGGAAGGTGATTTTTGTAAAACTCTAAAATCGGTAATAGTCACTTTAACTTAAAAAATTATCTAATTATAATTATATTTTAAATAAATCTATACATCAATATAATGTACTTACCAGCCTCATTACCAGCCATATTGGAAAAGTTAAAATATTTAAATATTTTGACACAAAATTTATATCTTTCCCGAGCAATAAAACAGAGAGATTTTTCGCCTTCTTGACAGGTCTCGACATGTCTAACTTTAAAGTTGCTAAAATAGGTAAATCGCAGCCAACTTGATTAAAGTACTATACTTACATGTTGCAGTGACTATTTATCTATCCAATGGTATAATAAAAGCAACAGAATTCTAATGTCAAAAATTATGTTTTTGAGTAATTTTGTCCGTTGGGCGCCACACTGTGCGCCGCGTAGGACTATCACATACCATAGACCATAAAATCCTACAGGAAAATTAGCTTTATCCCTACCATGTACAACGAGTGCAGGCCTTGTTATGAGAAGACTATCCTCGCAGACTAACATTATGTCAGTGGTTTTTGCACAAAAACATTGAAAATCCGGATTATTTTAAAAACATTCTAGCGACGGACGAATGAACTTTTAAGCAAGACAGGATATTAAATTTCCATAATACTAACACTTCGGCCCAAGAAAATTTTCATACCATTCGTGAAGGTCATTTCCAGCAACGTTTCAAAATAAATATTTGGGCGATCAGGTAATTGGCGCTTTCGAGTTACCCCCAAAGTTGTCAGGAGAAGTATACCTTAGCTTTCTAGCCAATATTCTACCAGAACTTTTGGTACAGACTTTAGACAACTTGCCATTACAGCGGAGACAGAATATGTGGTTTCTTCATGACGGGGCACCACCACACATTTCTAGAGGCGTCATTCAGTATTTGAATGAACATTATCCAAATCGCTGGATCGGTCGAAATGTTCCTGATCCTCGATAATGGCCAACAACATCTCCTGACCTCAATCCGATGGATTTCTGGTATTGGGGAGAACTTAAAGGGATGGTTTATGGGGCTGGTCCAATATCAACTGAAGCACAACGTCGCGAAAAAAAATTTAATGCGGCTGAAATAATAAATGGACAACTTCGAGGACTTAAAGTAAAAAGAAACGGGGTTTTCGTAATGAAGCTTGTGTGGAAAGTGGAGGACGACATTTTGAACA